TAGATAGATAGATAGATAGATAGATAGATAGATAGATAGATAGATAGATAGATAGATGGATGGATAGTCAGCAGGAAAGGTCTGTCACACTGGGGTGAGAGTAGAGCGCTGTTCAGCAAAGGCAATGCCCTGGCAAACCAGTAGCAGGCTTTGAGGGCCAATGAATTGGCACCAGTAGCTTCTGGAGCTCTCAGCCCACAGATGGGAGTGGGGGGGAAGGTAATCAGATAACTGATCAGAAAGAGATTACAGAAGTCTCTTTGCTGGCACAGGGTGCAGGACTCTGTTACATGGCCCATATGTGGATCTGGGTCACAGTCTTGGGTCAAAGTGCAAGGGTGAAAGGAACATTAGCACTCCAGAGCTTGTGGCTACAAGGAAGCAGAGACCCTGGTTATAGTTCTGGGGCAGAAAAGAGTGCTTGTAGTCACTCACAGACCAAAGTACATGCCAGGAGAACAGTAGATCATACCACCTTGAAAGAACTGAAAACTTATAGACCCCCTGAGAACTAGCTCTGAAAACAGTTGCACAAAAAATCTGAAGCTTGAGACAGTGCCCTCTACACCCCAGAAGCAGAGCCCAATGGTCAAGAAATAGGCTGGAAAATGAGCAAACAGTAAATCAAGTTACTATGGTGACAGGGAAGATCAAAGCACAAACTCAGAAGAAGACAACAAAGTCAAAATTGCTATATCCAAAGCCTTGAAGAAAAATGTAAATTGGTCTCAGACCCCCCCACCCAAAAACAAATCATGGAAGAACTCAAAAAGGACATTAATGCATTGTTGGTAGGGCTGTGAACTTATTCAACCATTCTATAGAGCAGTTTGGAACTATGCTCAAAGGATTATAAAACCATGCATACCCTTTAACTTAGCAATACCACTACTAGTTCTGTATCCCAAAAGAGATTTTAAAAAAATGAATATGTACAAAAATATTTATAGCAGCTCATTTCTGGGGGCAGAGAATTAGAAATTGAGAGATGTCCATTAATTGGGGAGTGGCTGAACAGGTTATGGTATGTGATTATGATGGAATACTATTGTAGTATAAGAAATGATGAGCAGAATGCACTCAGAAAAACCTGGGAAGACTCTGCATGAGCTGAGGCAAAGTGAAATGTACTACGTACAAAGTAATGGCATTTCTGTAAGATGATCAATTGTGAATGACTTAGCTATTCTCCACAATACAATGATCCAAGGCAACTCTGAAGGACTTATGATGAAAAATGTCATCCATTCCCAGAGAAAGAACTGATGGTGTCGGAATACAAATTGAAGCGTATTTTTTTTTACTTTCTTTATTTTTCTTGAGTTTTTTTTATGTTTTCTTTTAGAATAAGACTATTATAGATATGTTTTGCATGACTACATATGTATAACCTATATCAAACTGCTTATTTTCTCGATGGGTGGGAGGGGGAGGGAGAAAGGGAGAGAATTTGGAGCCCAAAGTTTTAAAAACGAATGTTAAAATTGTTTTTACATCTAACTGGGAAAAATTTTTAAAAATAAATACATAAACAAATATTAAAAGAAAAGGGGAAAAAAAGAAATGCTGAGGATGCTTTTAGAAAAAGCGTGAAAGACTTTTATGAACTGACGCAAAATGAAATGAGTAGAACGAGGAGAACGTTGTACATAGTAACAGCAATTCTGTATGATGGAATGACTTATCTATTCTCAGCAACAGAATGATCTAAGACAATTCCAAAGGACTTGTGATAAAAAAAAAATGCTACCCATCTCTAGAGAAAGAACTGATGGAGTCTGAATGCAGATTTAAGATACTTTTTTTTAACTTTCTTTATTTTTCTTAGTCTGTGTTTTCTTTCACAACATGACTACTATGGAAATGTGTTTTGCATGACTTCATATATATAACCTATACTGAATTGCTTTCCTTCTTAACAAGGGAGTAGTGGAAGGAGGAAGGCATTTGGAACTCATTTGGAACTTTTGAAAAACGAATGTTAAAAATTTTTTTACATGTATTTGGGAAAAAATTAAATATTAAATAAATACATAAATTAATGAAAAGAAACAGGGGGAAGCATGTATAAATGTAAAGATAAGATAGTGCAGGAAGTCTAGGCAGAATAGTGAAAAGTCTAATATACGTGGTTTTCAGCCTTAATCTATCAAAACCGCTCTCCCCAAAGTTATTAATGATCTCTTAGTTGCCAATTCTTTTCCAGGGGTAGGGAACCTGTGGCCTAAAAGCCATATGTGGCCCTCTAGTCCTTTATGCTTGAGGGCCACACGTGGCCTGGAGGCTGCAGGTTTGCCACCCCTAGTCTTTTCTCTAATCTCATTCTTCTTGACTTCTACTTAGCCTTTGACATTGTTGATCACTCTCCCCTCCTCAATACTCTCTTCTGCCTAGGTTTTTGGGATAATACTCTACCCTAGTTCTCTTCCCACCTATCTGACCATTCTTTTTCTATCTCCTTTGCTGAATCCTCTTTCAGATCACGTCTTCTAATCATAGATGTCTCTCAGGGTTCTGTCCTGGACCCTCTTCCTTGCTTTGTCTATACTTCTTCACTTAGTGATCTCATCACTTCCCATGGATTTAATAACCATCTCTATGTTGATGATTCTCAAATCTACCTATCCTCCAAACTCTCTGCTGACCTCCAGTCTTACCACTCCAACTGCCTTTCAGACATCTCAAACTGGATGTTCAGTAGACATCATAAACCAAACATGTCCAAAACAGAGTTCATTCTCTTTCTTCATGACACCCTTCCCCTCATCCTCCCCACACCCACCTCCTTCCCTTTTACTGTTGGGGGCAACACTATCCTCCCAGTTCCTAAGTGTCACAAACTAGGTGTTGTCTCAACTTCTCACTATCTCTCACCCCTCTGTATTCAATCAGTTGCCAAAGTCTGTCAATTTTGTCTTTGCAACATATCTAGAATACATCCCTCTCTCTCCTCTGACACTGTCACCACTCCAGTGCAGGCCCTCATCACTTCACTCCTGGATTACTGCAGAAGCCTGCTGGTGGGTCTGCCGGCCTCAAGTCTCTCCCCACTCTAATCCATC